TTATTCCTAATTCCCATATCTTTGCCTGAGAGCCCCTTGATTTCAAAATGATAATAATTTGGAGGGAGGGGGTTTACATTCTCCATTTCAAAGAGAAGCTCCTACCTTTCTCAGCAGACACCTGTCCTCCAAACTAAAACAGCAACTTTTCCTTCTTTGTCCATACATAAGCCGCACCTGATTATAAGTCGCACTCTGGGATCAGATCAAAATTTTAGTGAAAATGGTGCAGCTTATAATAGTGAAATTACTGTAATTCTGGTAAACACAGTGCATGTGGTAATTACCGCAATTCAACGTATATTGCTGCGGTTACTGTAAATGCGCTTATAGTGCCGCTGTCACCCGAATTACCGTAATTACCCAAATTACTGCAATTACCAAAATTACCGTAATTACAAAAATTGAATGCCCCTTAACCCCTCCCAGTCCATTGCAGTGCCCCCATAGAGGCAATTACGGTGATAGTGGTAATTACAGTAATTGCGGTAATTACAGTAATTTTTGGAATTACGGCTAAATATGGTAATAGCCATCATTACAGGGGTTTCGGTAATTAGGATAATTCAGGTAATTCAGATAATTCTGGTAAATTACGGTAGCTACGGCAATATGCCTTAAATTACGGTAGCTGCGACAATATATCCGTAATTACGGTAATCGCGGGCCGCAAAGCATGCTGGGATTGGGGGCACCAAAGCATGCTGGGATTGAGTGGGCCGCAAAGCATGCTGGGATTGCAGGGCTGCAAAGCATGCTGGGATTCGGGGGCCGCAAAGCATGCTGGGATTGGGGGGTACCGTAATTACAGGTGTATTGCCACATTACCGTAATTTACCATATATTGCCGCAGCTGCTGTAATTGTCCAAATCACTGCGATTACCAAAATTACCATAATTACAAATTTTGAGTGTCCCCACAACCCCTTCCAGTCCGTCCCAGTGACCCCAAACCAGTAATTATGGTAATTTTTGGAATTACGGCTAAATACGGTAATAGCAGTCATTACGGTGGTTTCGAAAATTAGGATAATTCAGGGAATTCAGATAATTCTGGTAAATTACGGTAGCTGCGGCAATATATGCTAAATTACATCAGATGCGGCAATATACCAATAATTACGGCAAACACGGGCTGCAAAACATGCTGGGATTGGGGGTTACCGTAATTATGGGTGTAGTGCTGCACTACCGTAATTTACCATATATTGCAGCAGCTGCCGTAAGTGCCCAAATCACTGTGATTACAAAAATTACCGTAATTACAAAATTTGGGTGGCCCCACACCCCCTCCCAGTCTGTCCCAGTGACCCCAAACCGGCAATTACGGTAATTTTTGGAATTATGGTAATTTTTGGAATTGCGGCTAAATACGGTAATAGCAGTCATTACGGTGGTTCTGAAAATTAGGAAAATTCAGGGAATTCAGGTAAATTACGGTAGCTGCAGCAATATACGTTAAATTACGGTAGCTGCGGCAACATGCGGCAAATTACAGTAGCGGTGGCAGCATACCAATAATTACGGTAATCGCGGGCCGCAAAGCATGCTGGGATTGGGGGGCCGCAAAGCATGCTGGGATTGGGGGGGGCCCGCAAAGCATGCTGGGATTGAGGGGGCCGCAAAACATGCTGGGATTGAGGGGGCCGCAAAGCATGCTGGGATTGAGGGGCTGCAAAGCATGCTGGGATTGAGGGGCTGCAAAGCATGCTGGGATTGGGGGGCCGCAAAGCATGCTGGGATTTGGAGGTACCGTAATTACGGGTGTAGTGCCGCATTACCGTAATTTACCGTATATTGCCGCAGTCGCCGTAATTGCCCAAATCACTGCGATTATCAAAATTACCGTAATTACAAAAATCGAGTGCTCCCACAACCGTTCCCAGTCCATTCCAGTGCCCCCATAGAGGTAATTATGGTGATAGCAGTAATTATGGTAATAGCGGTAATAGTGGTAATTTTTGGAATTACTGCTAAATATGGTAATAGCAGTCATTACGGTGGTTTCGGTAATTAGGGTAATTCTGGTAATTAAGGCAATTCCAGTTA